GAAAAAAGGTGAGGAAGATGAATTCTGCGACTTTGAGATTCCTACTTTGCAAGCTTGAATCTCCAACTCAGTCACCTCAAATTAGTTATTAGGAAGGTTGAAGGAAGAATTTAGTAGAAGAAGATGAAAGAGAATTCTTCAGGCTTAAGAAACCACTCTCTAGTTTTTCTTAAAACATGATTATGTCTAAAAAAAACCTTATATACAATTCCTTAAGCTGAACCTACTCCAAAGATAACTTAACTCTTAAAGGTCTCTTAACTCCTAGAGCTCTAAAACATCATTCACTGTAACAAAACAACAATTAATCATATAAAATTCATATAATTAACTAAAATCTCAAAGTGTTACAATGAAAAAAAAAAACCTATATATATGTATATATATATATATATATATATATCTACAAATAAAATTCGCAACAGATAATAAATGGATACTTAAATGAGTATTCATGAATAATTTAAATAGATATAATAATGCTCGCTAATAAAAGGAGATGATAATGGATATCAAGGTACTCGCTATGCAAATATTTGCTAAGTATTCGTTATAATAAAATTACTTATTAGAATATATATCATGTGTTAACTAAAAATATGATATTACTTAGATTTCTTTTATTTAGACTCATGAGATGGAAATATTGTCATTTTTTTTAACTTTTATTTAATTTGGACTTGTAGAATTAAATTATTTTAGTTTATTAAATTTGTTTAAAACTATGAGAATAAAATACTTTAGTAATTAAATTTAGTTTTTAAATTGAAGAATCTTGATTAATAAAATTGTATATAATGTTTGAATAATTAAAATTTTGACTTTTAAATTATTATTTTTAAAGAAATTATTAGAATAAATAGAAATTATAATTGAAATTTTTTTTTAAAATTTTTTTTTATAGAAATATCTATGGATACATGTAGATAATCATGAATATTGAAAACATACAGGAATACTTGCATATGTATGGGAATGTATACAAGATGAATATTTATTTAATAGGATGGGTAGTACAAGACGACTATCCGTACTTCCCGTGCCGTTGACATCCTCCCTACTCCTATCAAGCAAATATATTGAGATGACTTTATTGCAACTTTAGTTTCTCAATTGAAATATGAGAATAACTAAAATGTGTAATTAAGTCCCATCAACATATGTATTAAGTAACATATAATATTCTATTATAAAGTATAAGTTTTTTTTTGAAAACTATTGTGCATTAATATTAAAAAGTTTGTAATACTTCTTATAACATAATATTATATTTGTAATGCAATTATTTATTTTAAAAATATTATAAATTATACTTTAATTTAAGTTTTATACTCACTTTATTTTATAATTAAGTTATACATAATGTTTCTTTTTACACCATTTAATTACGGTGGTGTAAAAAGAAACATTATTACGAGTAGTCTGGGTTTCTGTTGCTAAGTGGTTGGAGGTTACGGTGGTGTTCCCCAATTCTATAATTTCTCATTATTTATATTGGACGAATCTTGGCATATATGAAAAACATTCTCAATTATTGCGAGTAGTCTGGGTTTCTGTCATTTGGTCACTATGGCTTCATCGAAATGTTATTATCTTTCAGCAAGGTACTATAGATGCCAAGGAAGTGTTGGATAATATTAAATTGCGTTCATGGAAGTGGATAAATTGTTCTATCCCTGTTTGTTCTTTTAGTTACTCAACTTGGTATAATAACCCAACATTGTATTTCTTATAGTTTCTATTTTAGATTTTAGACTAATTTTGTATCTGTATCTCTTGTAACGGGTTCTGTGTCTCTTGTAACGGGTTGAAGTACCCCTTGTACTCCCTTTAATATAAATCTCTTTTGCTTATAAAAAAAAAAAACAAAGTCAAATATCAACTTGATTTTGTTCATATATTTTTGGATCTTGATTGGGTCAGGTTTAAACTTTTAGAAATAGTTTATACAAAAATTTAAGTAGGATTTGAGCAAAGATAAACCCAATTCAACCTAATTCATGCTCACCCTTAAATCATACACTAGTAAAATTTGTTAAATATTTAATTAAAGGTTGATTAAAAAACTAAAACCATATGTACAATTGTAATTAGGGATGGCAACGGGGCGGGGCGGGTACGGGTTTCATGATACCCGTCCCCGTCCCCGCGAGCCAAACTCATCCTCGTCCCCATACTCGTACTCGTCGGGTATGTGATTTTCATCCCCATCCCCGTCCCCGTCGGGTATCGGGTATACCCGTACCCGTACCCGTACCCATCAAAAAATTTATTTTTTAT